TTGAAGCAGACAGAGGTGAGTAGACATTGGTGTGTCTCACAAATCAGTTGATTATGTGATCGTCAGTTTATGTCTACTAGATTGGATGGTCATTCAGTAGACATCTGCATAGGTGTCAAGTTCAAGTGAAAGATTGTCAATTCGAAACGAGATAATGTGTATTGTGTTTATGTTGTCAGTGTGTGTTTAGTGTTTATTGAAATGCACGATTGGAGTGAAGAATGTTTGTAGTGATCATGTGATGACTGAGGAGTGAGCAGGAGGATGTTCAGAAGAATTCAGTAAATGACTGTCAATGTCACATTTCGAAGCAAAGAAATAGCCAGTTGAATTTTTCATTTCCACCTGAAATGCAGTATATTCGTTAGATGTTGTAGGTCGAGTTAAGTGGTTGGTTATTCCAGTAGTGACTGGAGTGGTGATTGGATTCACTCGAAAAATTTACAATCTGCATGAGAAATCTCATTGTAGAATATTGTGCAGGATGTAATGTTAATGAAAGGTTGCTTCGGGTCTTATACAACGTGTATATTTCATGGTCGATGGAAGTGTTTATATGAGTTGACTGCAGTCTGACTTTCATGACATGTCGAATCCAGTGTTGCAGTTATTATTATGATTGTTGTTAGGAACGTGGAATCGATGTGAATCGATGATAATTAGTGGGTAGGAAATGAGATTGAGGTGAAGGTCAGTGGGATGGGATGGAGTAACACAAAACTTGTTGTAAGTTTAATGTTGGGTTGTGTTGGTTTGTGATGAGGAGATGATTTACTAATCCTTGACAATTGTATGAATGTGTGTGATCACTGAATTGTTTTGGTTTCAGAATATCAATGAAGTCACAGTTACAATTGCCTTGACATTTATGTCTTCTCTACTCCTATTCATATAAAGATGTTTTCCTTCCTGTGACCAGCGAATCTGATCAATGCTCTTCTTGTGGACGTGCGTGCTTATTGCGTGGAAGCATCAGTCGGTGTCATTGGTAATTGTAAGAGATACGTTGTGTGATTCACTTTCGCCAGATTAATGTTGTACATTTGTGTGTGAAGTGCAGTGTGCATGCGTATTTTCCGGAATCTCATGTTGACTATCAGATCATACATGATGTTGATTCCGCAGTAGTGAATGTGTGTGTGTGCTTGTGTGTATGTGTCTACTCGTGGTGGCTGTGTGTGTGTGTGAAATTTATCTTTCCATGTACCGCCATAACTTGCTTATCAACACTGTGGCTCTAGCAGTTAACCTACGGCTACATGATGTGTCTGTATGTTCAGTTTCACACACTGGGGTTGGTGATGAAATGAATGATGTGTGTCAGTTGGTCAGTCACGTGTTGGTGTGTGTGTGTGTGTGTGTGAATTTCAGACGAATCAGTGATCGACAGGAGCTTGCTGCAACACTTAATATTGACATCTACTGCTACATTTTTCAGGTTGAATCTGATCTCAATCACAATTACTGACTATCTGATTCGAACACAAACCATTCATTGTGATACTGTCAACTGTGAGAACTGCAGACTGATCCATGTGTCAATGTTGTACTGCAGCAGAATATGTGGATGTGTTGTAGGTTGATTGAACACAGTGGAACTGACCGATTACGCTCTCTATCGTTCTCATCTATCGCTATACACCAGCATCAACGAGAGATTGTTTCTTCAGCTTAGTATTCGACAATAGGTAAGCAGTTGAATCAACGAGACTCAGTATATCGATGTTGTACGTGTCGTTCGATTGTTGTTGGACGCACAGTGCATGTTAATGCTGACTGATTGTTCCCCATTCACCACTTTATAACCAGCGTTTCTTTCAGTTGGAAGTGTGTCGAATGGCAGTCAGAAAATGAAGTGAAGTGCATTGAACTCAAACCATACATGAAGATTTGTTCTTATCGGACGTTCAGAAATGAAATCGACAACTTTGTTGCAGTTGAACTTGACTTGCATAGATCGAGGATCTCCATACTTTTGGAGTTCGTTAGGTGGAAATGTAGACATCGAATACTCGGACGTATCGAAATGTGTTAGATGAGTGAGTGTAGATGCGCAAGGGAATCTCGCTGTCAAGCACAGAGGTTGCTGAGTGTATGGGAGAGTGACGTTCCCACCTAAACGTGTTTATTACAATGTTTAGTAGTCAGGGTTACTTTCTTACTGATACGATCAATTTATTGAGGTACATCTACGATTGCACGAAGTGGCAGTTTGTATCTATGCTTGCTGTGTACTCAAAAACGCGATTTATCCTCTCAACTGCATCACATTAGTGAATATATCTCAGATCCCACTGTTGCATCATATCACCGTATCACTAGGTTTGAGTAACTTTACACCCAACAGTGAAGAACTGCACAGATTATTGAGGATGCATTTTGTCTCTCATAAGTCTGAACATGAATTGCATGTGGTGTCTCTAATGTCAACATCAGTCTACAATTTCCTGACCATTCTATGATTCTAACACTTCAGTGTGCTGTTTCTGCTATGCCCATTGGCGCCATGGTACAGTCTACTTTATTTGACCAGATTCCACGTTGTTTGAAAGAATCTTGTGTTATCTACTTTACCAAGAACATCATTCATTTCTCATGCTCTGCATACAGTTTTCGGAAGAGTATCCTCACTATTAGGTTCCTACATCACATGCTATCTATCATTCAACACATGTTTGCGATGATGCATTTCTCCGTTTTCTGGATAGTTTAATCTAGACCATTTCACTAGTCACTTGGCTCACTTAGTTTCTGCTCGAAACCAACTCTTCGTCATAACATGAAGTCCTTAACGAGTGAGAAGTCAACTGTCGACGTGCAGTATGCAATGAAGAATCGCGGACACTGTTTTCGGTGACGATGATTTTTCACCTCCAATTGAAAAGTCGATATAAGCGTCAAAGTGGATAAATTCTCACATATGCGCTTAAGAGTGTGAGTTTAGTTTACTAGAAATTCAGTAAACTTGACCGAATCGAATACGCTATATACACTGGCTGAAGGCAACACAGAATTCAAATGGTGATCGTTTGCACGAAATTTTCAGCGGCATGTGTAAATTTGAATTTAGATGTCATATTTTCATGAATAATGCTAACTTTCCGCCTCGTATTTCAGCTCATTATTTTTCATAGAAATAACTAAAATTAGCTAAAACCACACTTCTTTGAGAAACGATGGAATTATTTATTTCAAACAGTCTGCGATTTATATAAATATAATGTGTATATAGTTTCAGTTATCATAACCTATTTTGGCATTATTTTAGACGCACGCATTTCCCTAGAAGGCATTCAGTAGTTCTGACCTCAAGTTATGTGAGGTGGATTCTGTACACAACCTACTGATTTCCTTCACTGCTATTTGCTTAAATGAGTCGGTCAGTATTATACGTCTAGCATAAAATATTATTTCCATGGCAACGGTTTCATCTAACTCATTGCGCATCGGACAAACAGTACTGAAATATGGAAGATATCGGAAATATAAACTTCTAATTGTCTACCTGATGACCAAAAGGATAAGTAAGGGTAGGTTAAGCTGGTCGAGATCCCGTACTAGTCTGTCAATTAGACAATGTAAAGGTTGTAATACTACCTGTTTGTCTATGTCGAATTAGATGTAAAGGAATCTGAACGTATGACTCATTGCTTGATAATAGTAGTGCTTCAAACAAGAAGTCAAATTCTGAATGGAATACGCTTTCTTAGTGAACATCACCATTCACGTACGACGACATCCTTCTCTATTGTTGACCTGGTTTTTGCTTACGCAGTCAGAACCTAAATGTGTTGAACTTGGTATGAAAATTTACTTCCGCTAAGGCATTACTACGTCTAAAATAATCATCAAATTCCAACTAAATAGTAGGAATAAAAAAACGATGCGATGTAAGGATATGAGTTGATTATTAACTGTTTAGATTTAACCAAAACGACCTAAATGCTTGCCGAGTTCATAACCACTAAGTGTAAGATGCTCGTTGGAAGTTAGATACAATAAACAAGTGTATGACCTATAAGAGACTGATAGCTAAATTGTGACATAGAGCTAGTGCTATGTTTATGCTCAAAAATGCACATGGTATAACCTTTTCGGAGAGCCCAAAACAACGAACTGACTTTATGGTATGTTAATTAAAATGAAAGTTTTTGGGGTTTGTGAAGCAAGAATGGAAACATAATTATGTCATATGAAAACGGATATCTTTTATAATTACTGGAGAGAGAAAAGTACACCCAAGTTCATTAAAATAACGAGGATCGAGCTACCAACTAGCATGAAATTGAGGCGATCCGCCGTTGCCAAACTTTGAAACCACACTATTATAATTCGGAAACGTTAAAATATTATTTACTTGATGGTGGCTTGAAGTGGAATTCAAGACACGAGATCCACTCATAGACACAGAGATACATTCAGCCAACAAGTTCTAAATAAGATGAAACGCGCGTCCTAGATTCCACTGCTAGTCACCCCGCAGATAAATCATAACGTAATGAACACTCAGGCAATATCGCGGCATCCACATAGGAGTCCATTTGATCTCGTACAACAATATTAAATTGCAAGTACCAGTGAATAAATGTTAAAATGAACAAGAGTTTCATAACTCAGGAGAAATAACGGAGAACTTATAAGATATTGAGAACTTCGATGATAGGGAGTGAATACATTCCCACCTGTCCGATCAATTTTGAGCCACGACACGGAAAATATTCAACCTCGAAACGATGCAGAAGATTTGTAGCTAACAATGAGGATGATGGCAATTCGGTGTTCTCTGAGCTTTGATATTTTGTCGGAGACGTTTCATCACCAGGCTTGATGATACATCCTCAGCACTAACTTCATTTTCAATCATCGATTCCTACAATCTTGAACACTGTAAATTTGTCTTACATACCAGTTTACTAAATTGCAATCCTGGCATTACAGTCCAGTCCCTACCTATTTTTAGCAACGCATTCGCATACTATATCCTTCAAAAAAATGCATATCGAAAAATAAACTTTTTATATTCATAAACAGATTACCACATGAGAAAAAGACCAACTTGAAGACTAAATAATATAGTATAAAAGTTCATAAGTGAAAGTAAACATGACTATTTCGACAGTCCAAAATAAGAGAAAGTATAGATGTTGCAGATGCACAACTAATGAATCAAACAGGTTTGCATGCTATGGAATCACGATGACAGTTGTTTTGGTAAGTGTCTTTGTAAAACTTCATTTACCAAGTAATTTCTTGACACCACGAACAATAGCCTGTGCATCGATGCCATACTTGGCTATTAATTCTTCTGGTTTCCCAGAATGTGGAATCTCTGTTATGGCCAATCGATGGACAGTATGTTCTACGCCAAGGTGTGAGAGAGCTGCACTAACTGCATCTCCTATACCTCCTAGAAAAATTAAATATATAGAAATAGTAACGATAAGCAAGATACATAGGTTAAGGTTTACTCATAGAACCTCGTAAGTAGATTTACAAGAAAGTCGTAACAGTAAAAACCAAACAAACTAGGCAAGATGAATTTAAAGTTTGTATGTGACCACCAGATAATTTTTTAGAGACTTACAATCTTAGCTGATAAATCACCATAAGAAAAAGAGAAAGGAAAACCCTTAGGGATGCCTGATTCCTAAAAAATTCAACTTATGTACATATTTCCATTATAAAATCTAAACCTTATTTTCGCGTTTTTTCACTCTATGCAGTGTTATTTATTTTTACCGTGGTTCAAGATGGTAAATACTGATTAGTTCGTTTTTTACTTTTGATTTGCTATTTCGTTTTTCCTGGTCGAGTCACATAAAAGGTATAGAAACGATTGGACTTTCAGCTATAATTAAACCATTCAATTAAAGTAAACATACCTTCAATCCCATTTTATAAACTTCAAGATCAAAATTTTGACCTGATAGAGTTGAATAAATTGCGCATTGGTTAAGTGGATTATAAATGAAATATATTTGTAAAATCTCAATGAAGTAGAAACATAAATTTCTGACGTTTCACGACTTCATAGAAATCGCTCCTTGAGAGAATAAAACCAGTTTAAACAATCAATTTCCATGAAGTCGCGAAACGTCAGAAATTTATTTTTCTACTTCATTGGTATCCTACAAATATATTTCACTTATAATTCAATCCAATGTTTTTCTGGTGTCAGCTGGGTAGTGTGTTGAGAAGTCATTGTTCTATCGTCAAGTGTACAGCATCGAAGCATATACATATATACATACTGTAGATCAAAACAAAAACGATTGGAAGGAAGCAGCATACGTTTTCGTGAAAAATGTGATATACATTTTCTGTATGAGCGATATAAATTATTGTTCGTGTTCAAAGTAAATAGGGTGATGTGTAAGTACAAAATTTGAACACTGTAGTAGTGTAATTTAAGCTAATAAGCTGACATGACCAAGAAAGACTGCAAGTAAGTATCTTACCCATCAAGATTGAGGAAAACAATGATAGGTCAACAGTACCACTGGTCCTAAACTCTGAAACTTAGCGGAGAACATATAACTTCAACCTGTTACCAAAGAGACACATCAAAAGATAAGGAAACGATATTTCTGATCTAGGAGAGGATTCAATTCTTCTATACTTCACCAGTTAGTAACACAAGCCAATTTAACCAGCCACTACGATCGTACAACAAATGAGGTCGTTAGTTAGTAAACAAATTTTAAAACACTTCCAATCTTGTTACTATCCTACTAGTTTATCTACAATTGATGCATGAAGTATTAATGTTTTAGACGTTTAGCAATAAAGATTGCATCATTTTGAAGTGACATTGCAAAACTTTTCCACAGATATGCCGACACGGTTGTAAATGTACACGCAACTGAGCTATTATACACTTAATAAGTGGAATTGGTCCATGTTTAATAAATGAGAATACTAAATATGAGATCATACGTGCACCATGATTACAAGAGAGTGCACGAATCTATTCTCATAAGACTAATTTTTGCACCAAAGAGCTGCAATAACCGCCCATCTATTTTCCAACCCATATCGTAATACCATGAGAAGAGAGTAGTGTACTTCATAAAATCCGCACTTGCTTTTATGTCAAAAAGTAAGATAACGACTGTATATCTGTATCGCCAATTGCGTAATGACGATAATAAATCTTGTAATAAAAAGTGCATAATCAAGTATCGAGGTTCATGCAACTAAAAAACCACGTTGGTTCACAAGTCCTATGATTAAATAACGAGGACGTTATTTAAAAAAACGCTTACACCGCGAAAAGTTCTTTCTCTCGCCTAGAAAGATAATTATAAAACTTACCTTCAGGAGCATGATCTTCCACTGTCAGTACTTTATTGCATGTTTCTTTGACGGCTTTTGCAAGCAATTCACCGTCCATTGGTTTAATAGTGAAGGGATCAATTACACGAATGTGAATATTTTCAGCTGCAAGGATATCAGCTGCCTTCAAAGCTTCGGTTACTGTGATCCCACCACCAACTACAGTCAAATGATCTCCAATAACTCCTGATGTACGAAGGACCTATTCAAGTTAGTTAAAGCAAGCACAGACAATTTTAATCTTCTCTATAGAAAGCAACTGCTAATGCTTTATATATCTATTTTTGAATTACATAAAATAGGAGATCGAATTTACATTAGATATTTAACACCTGTGACACAAACTCGTAGTTTCTTTTACTGATTGCAGTTTGGTAAAATATGTGATAAGGATGTACCACTAAAAATAAACGGAGGCACTAAAGAAAGATAAAAGTGAAAGTAATGCTGCTAACCTTGGTAAAGAAGAAATCACTCAGTCAACATAAACACTTTCAATCAGTTCATCAAGATACAATGCAACAAGATGAGAGGTAAAGTAGAAAAATAACTAGAAGCTATGAGATGAAGAGAAAAGCAGTTAGAATCAATAACAAACTGAAATAACGCTTAGAATGAATATAAGATACGTAGGCAACTGAACCACCGTGATATGATCGCCATGAAGACTTCAGTTTGGAAGCTTATATCTTCCTACACAACACAGACTAACAGTGATCAACTTCATAGACTTACGCCATATTTTAACCTGGTCATTCTTAGCGTCTTACCAGCCTATAATTCAATTCGCAAATGGTGTCGTAGTAGAAGTTGATTCGATACGTGCAGCACGTTTGTTGACTGGGCTCCTTGAGTGACTGACCGACTGGCAAATCAACATGGGACCTCGCAAACAGGCGCATCGGCTCAAGATGCCACACTTCACAGTAGTATGCAAAGAACAGGTAGATAGAAAAAGTGATACCAAAGTACATTGGGCTCCCTGTTCAAAGTAGCATCGTTCTACTATACACAAGTTGTAACCCAGTGCCAGTACAAATGATTATGCATAATTACCAAAGTGACTCATTGTGTCATACTTCATAAACTCAGATGTATGGTGTACGATGTTACATATGCCATATCACGGTAAACCTGATGAGCACTGCTTGTAAAAGTAGCCTTACTCTGGGGATAAGTTGAATGCAACCAGATTTATGAACGTCTTTAGCTTGGCATGCGTTTTACATTTGTCAAATGCAAGATGCATCAGAATTCGTCTGCATCTATTCCCAGTTTGCCGGTAGGGAGTGAAGTGATAGAATGCACCGACCATTTTATTTACTTGAGGAGTTGCTTCAGCCTGAGTGGTTTGGTAGCAAACAAAAACTCAAGTCCCATTCAAAAAAACTCGTTTGGCATTTGTCAACTTGCGTCATCTCTGATACTAACTGGCGTGAAAACCGAATACCCACTAAAGGATAAGTGAACTGCGCTACAGTCCATTCTACCCAGTCATACAACTGAGACATACCCCTGAAAGAAGTGACTACAGGTTTTTGATCATTCGTATCTTCTTAGCATTGCTCACATATACTGAAATTACCATGCTGTTAATGTCGAGGTTAGGTGAAGAGTACTAGGCAAAACAAGTAAACCAGTCGATGAGGTTGTGAACCTTCAGCGACTGAGATGGCTTGGACATGCGTTGTACATCCCGCACCACCACTGACCTTAACGTGGAACGCTAACCGAAGTTAGAATAGATTTGGGGAGGGTTCAGAGTGACCGAACCAAGACATGACAACAGTCCATGAAGTCTCTGATCCTTGGTTTGAGCAGTGTAGGCAGGTTCAGACTACCTGGTTAAAGTTCCTGGAAATATGGGAATCAATGGTTGCAAACCCTTAGGTAAATGACGGAAAATCGATTACATTGACGCAGGTGTATTCACTCGTTGACGTCTTTCAAGGCTTGAATATTCTCACCCGTCTCCACTTTCAAAATGTGACAGCCTGAATGGATGCACTTCTTTGCGAGGTTCTACGTCGATTTGCGTATCAGGCCAAAACAACAGTCAATTGGGTCTCTAACTGTCGATCTCAACCATGTGGAGGAATGTGGGCTTACCGGTTAGGGCCCTCAAGAAAACCGAAAATGGCGGTTGCAGATTCCACGCGATAAGGTTCAGAATCGATCTGCATGGTGCAAATGTGCGCACATCTTCATCCTTATCGTCAGACAGAACTTTTTTTATCGTGTTATCCTTTCTTTTCTCCCTTTTCACAACTTTCCATTACTTTTGATCACTTCCTTTCTCATTTCTCAATCTTTTACCCTGATATGCTGATGTAGAGTGTAACAATTCAGCCCGTTACATGGTAATGACAACCCCGATACTGATATTGACTGATTGAATCAATACGTTTTACATTCGTCCGTTTTGTTTCACATACGTTAACAAGGAATCTCGCTTCTATTTTTGATGTCTGCTTACTGTGAAGAAATTTTTTATTGAGAACAGATATGCATGTTTCAGTAAAGTTACTCATTCACTAGCCCAGTGGCAAAATAATTGTTTGTAGGTACTCACTATGAACCAGATCAAGCTGCAAAATATCTTACACTCTTGTAGATAAGAAAACTTAGATTTACACAAGCACTCACCTTTCCTTTACCAACAGAAAAACATTCTTCGGAGGGATAAACTACTGGTTGGTTAGGTCGTCCAGTTCGTATATAGCATATTCCTAAAGTATTGGCTGCCAACTCAACAGCACGCTCTGTCGACACGGCATCCGATGGATAAAATACAGTGGAACCAATTATAGAACGGAACATAGCCAGATCTTCGAGACCCATCTGACTTGGTCCATCTTCCCCTGTCCAATGAAAAATAGTGAATTTTCGAAAGTAGGTGAAATCGATTCTTGCAGTTAACACATAAGTAAGGATAAAAGTTAGTACTACTGAAGCCAACTACGATATATTTAACTGAAACAATCATCGGTGTTTAGGCACAAGTAAATAAGCAGCAGGACGCCAAACCTAATGATGCCAGAAACTATATGGTGTGGATCTAAAACTCAAGACAAGTAGTGAACTCACTCGAAACCTACCTTAAGACTATTGCAAAAAAGGAGCTACTAACTGAAGATCCTGCTTGGTTGTGAAGCTTCAGTTTACGTTCTAGATATCACTAATACAACATTCAAAAAGTAAACCTTCAACATATCTCCAGCGATACGCCTTCAGTGGTGACAGTGCTTACGACCTGTTGTCCTTGGAAGCTTCGCTATCACGTATGTATGCACTCCCACTAATTGTTTTGGTTACTTGATTTTGATGACTTACTAGTCAGTAGAACAAGTGTATATCAGTATACTGTTGGTTACAGATTGAACTGAAACTTTGACTTCAATCATTTTCGACTTCCCTCCATCTTCATTGTCAACTCCATACTTGCAGCTATCGACATCCAGAGGTGTGAGGAGGACATGTCATGTGCAACTGCAACAGTTTCTTCAGATGATAATCCATAATGAATATCTATTTCGGTCAACATACTACTCGTGGTTGGTCCGCATTACTTTTTATGTGACGTTCAGTTATCTTCTTTCACTACCGCATCTTTGTCCACACAATCCCGACTGTATTGTTGCGCAAGCCGTATTATTTCAGAATGGAATTTTAAACTCTCATTTTATGATTTCAGGTAATGATTAGATGGTGGTGAGTTGGTTCCATAGATATCTTGTGAAGTTGTATGGATAAAAACTGTCCCAGAAGATGCTATTTTGCAATTACCCTAGACTTGAGAGTGTGGTGATCTTTTCCAAATAGTAAGCATGACATATTGCGTCTGCTGTCACAATATTTCTGCTGCAGTCAGGTATTCTGTTTATCAAGGTTGTCCTTGTTATATATATATATATATATATATATATATATATATATATATATATATATATATATATGGACTTTGTTACCAGTTATTAGTATTACACAATAAATGTTGGGCTGTATGAAAAAGTAGTGAAAATTTAATCAATAAACAAGTCGGATTAATTAGCTTACGAAACAAACCTTAAAATTAAACTCACCGATACTAACTCCAACATGTGATCCAGCGAAATTACAGTTGGTTTGAGAAACAGCACCCATACGGATTTGATCAAAGGCACGAGTGAAGAAGGCTGCAAAGGTACTTACAAACGGTACTGTTCTTCCTCGTGCAGCACAACCAATAGCTACACCAACTAAATTTTGCTCTGCGATGAAGCACTCAATGAACTGATCTGGTTTAACATCGCGGAGTTTAATGCTAAAAGTTGAATTTTTGGTATCACCATCAAGAGCAATAACTCTGTCGCAGGTCTGTCCAATACGAGCGAGAGCGTTTCCATATGCAAGGCGTGTGGCCACCTAGTGGTACAGTGGTACAAAATTGAAATTGGAGATATTCGGATAAATACAGCTGCAGAGTTACTCTAGTGAATTTCAGATTAGAAAATTACATCATGCTTTCATAAAACATCTGAAGTCGTTGAAAAACATTGGTCAAAACAGTGGAATTAATCATATTAGTAGCTTACCATATCTCCAAGTTTGTACTGAGGTGCCGCAGGAAGTCTGATAGTGCCCATAAGTTTCAATTCACTACAATCATCCAGTGGTTTTAAAGGTAGAAGATGACATTTGGAGCCGCAAGTTGGATCAACACTTAGTTGCGCACTTAAGTGTTCTAGAACTTCTTTGGCCTTGTTTCCTAGAGGTTTACCGTGCCAGTTTTCCTGATCCGAGATACCAGGAAACCCTTGGCCCTTGTAGGTTTTACATATTACGGCCGTCGGCTTATTTTTGACAGTTCGAGCACATGAGAAAGCTTTCAGTAACTCCTGAATATCATGACCATCAACGACGACGGAATGACACCTATGATGACCAATAGATATAAAACCGAAAGCTGCTTATTCGGCAAGAATGATATCGCAAAAAAGAATAACTACATTATAAGACCGGATGTGCGTTTACTAACTAAAGTAACTTTTTCCATAATGTTGTTTGAAAGCGAACGGAAAACCGTTGAACTTCTTGACAATCATCCCTAAGCAGAGTAGTATTGTTACTTTCAATAAGTTGTATGATCGTTTCAAGAGGGTGGACGACAAATAAGATTAATCTACGAATATAGTTTGTTATCAGATGACTGGAAAACTGCAAGTCAATTCAGTTCATAATCGTTCGCATTGTAAGAATCAACGCTGCTTTTTACAATTTTACTTGATGCTCAAAATGGACTGTTTTGCTGCTAAGATTCACACCTGTAGCTTAGCTACTCATCAAGAAAGTACTGGTGCAATCCTATGAATATCTCTGTAAGCATCTGAAATCAGAAAGAAGTTACATTATGACCTGTGTACGATGGCACAATAGGAGCTGCGGCGAATAACGAAATAGAGTTTACACCAACCTAGTTTCAAACTTTTCTTTACAGATTTCAAAATGTTGCCGTAAAATTGTTCAACAAAGGCCCTCAAACGTACAGTGTAAAGACTTACCCAAAAGCTTCCGTCCGCCGCTTGTAGGTTTCCAAGTCATGTTGCAATTGTGTCGGCTGACTCTGCCCTAGGCGATTGACATCAAATATTATGACAAGGTTGTCCAATTGATAGTAAGATGAAAATGCGAGCGCCTCCCAAACACTGCCTTCGGCGGATTCCCCATCTCCAACAACACAGTATACCCGGTAACTTGCCTTGTCAATATATTTTCCAACGTATGCCATGCCTGCAGCATTGCTGACACCTTGCCCCAATGATCCAGTTGAGACATCGATGAAAGGCAAACGCTAAGCAAGTGTCATAGAGACTTAAATTACTTACCGGGGTGGGGTGACCTTCTAAATCAGAATTCAACTTGCGCAAATTTAGCAGTTCCGACTCAGGGAAGAGCCCAACTTCAGCCCATGCTGCATACAGTATTGGAGCTGCATGACCCTACAAGAATATTTTTGATCAGAAATACATACTCACCTTCGACAAAACGAATCTATCGTTTGAAGGATTCCTAGGTGATTCTGCCTTGAAGTGCATTTCCTTTAAGAAAAGTACAGACATTATTTCTGCAAGAGATGCACATGAAGTGGGATGTCTGAAAGATGAATAACTTGGAAACATGCGTTACCCCGAGCCTGCAGCTTCAGTAGACTTAACAGAGTTAATTCGAAGGCGCGTGGCGACATCCTTGAGGGCTTGAATTTCGTCCATCATTAAATTTGAGTATAATGTGTCGGTGAATTATTCTCGAAAGGACCGGCTAATGTTTTCACCTAGCCTTTATATACGCTGTTGTAGTAGTGTGCAGAAAAGCTGACTTAGTTATTGCAGCTAACAACCAAGACCGAGATTTTTGATAATCTATTAAACAGAAAAGTAACGCAGGACAGTGACCCAGGAAGCAGAGAGAACATAGAATTTTTAAGGAATTAAATGTTACCAACAAAAGTTGGTATCATAGTGAAAAGACAAGGCAGTCACGCAATAGGAAAGTGTAAATAGAACAGTCAAGTTTTACCACTCCTAATATCTAATATCTGTTTAACGAGCTTGTGTAAACCAATTGATTTCTTCGCACTCACTTCTTGGTCTCGCTGAGCGGCTCCGGATCGTTGACGTTAAGTTGTTCACGGAACCGTGAGTGTTATGCTCGTAGTATAGTAAAACAAATAAAAAATTTCTTACGGCAACCTAACATCTGTAACAAAAATGATGACCGAACATTTAAAGAAACTTTTTATGTTTAAAAGTTCATTATCCTGTATTTCCCATCAGTAACATTTTCAAGCGTTTGTGTAAACCAACTAGTTTCTTCTGCTCGCTTTTAGGTCTTGCTGAACGGTTCCGGGTCTTTGGTGGATAGTGCTGGTCAACTGTGCTTCTAATTTGGCCTAAGATTTCATACGGGGAATGCCAAGGCAATTCGGTTATCAGGAATGGTTAAGCATCAGTATACAGAATTTTCAAATGCAGGTCAAACATTCCAGTGGTATGAGGTTAACCGATTAGAAAATACCATAGTCATCATTATCTATTATCTAACGCCTTGGAGGCTTGCTAATTACCCTCCACTGAGATATGGCCAGGCCTAGGTGTTATCAAGAAAGCGATGAAAGCAGTGATAACGGCATCTCAATGGCTAAATGACGTGAAACTTAAAAGGTTATCAGGATCTGGTGACGTTTTCATTCGAAGCGGTAAGTTCTTAGTTTGCGTTACATTTACACGTGATCTGTTATACTATAACTTTAACGTTACCAATCGTTCGATTTAGTACTTTTGAGCACCAAAATTTACGTTACTGCTGCATAACATGGTATTTTATGCCGGTAATTTCCGCGGTTTAGTTGATCTATCTGCACAGAAGAAGGATTCGGAGTTTGTATTACTTCTCTTTCTCAGAAACTCAACTTTCTGAACATCATACCCCTCTTCAGGAATGTTTAAGGATATCACGCTCAAGAGACACCCATTTTGGCATACTCAGCGGGACCCAAAAAACTACTGCTGAGAAAACAGGGAAATCAAAACGAGGACCAACTTAACAAAAAGTTATTTGTCTGTATCACTCAGTTCAGTTACAGACTAACGCTGGTAGCTTCGAGACAATAGTTCCGCAGCATACTTTGCCTGAAGTGTAAAGAAACACTTGCTAATAACTGCCATATGTGATACATAAGTCGTTGCTAAACCTTCTGTGACTGCTGGTTATTTTACTTGTTCTTCGGTATTGACGGACCCAATAAACGCGCAACTACTACTGCTCCACCGTGGTCCAGCCTAACAAACGTATATGTACTGTGCATACACGCAAACCTAACTCCAGAGCCTCAACTAAAAGAGCACGTTTGCTAAGTGGTTCCACATCAGGCCCTAAAAGAGGTCCTGAAGTCAAGGTAGTCGATCTCGTGCCGGAGCTATGTAACACTTCGCGTAAAAGCGAGGAAGATTTGATAACCTTTCAGAAGTCACCGCGAGACATGAACGCTAAACTTGAAATTGTTCTGCCACTGCTGCATCTTTGTCGGCCTAATCTAGATGCCAGTACTGATTTCTTATTGAAAACAGAAAGTGTCCTAGATTTCATTGCTACAGAGGTTAACAAAAGGATTATGCATTAGTATACAACATACCCGACCACGAACCGATCAGACAAGTAAAGGTCTTATGTCTGCAGGCTTGTAACATGTCTTCTGCAGAACGCCAAGTTACCCGTCTCTGCAAGAAGTTTGGGAAATATACCTGCCCCTTGTTGTTCAAATTCAGTGGCTCTTACCACTCCAGACACTTCGTATCATCCAAGCAACTTAGTAGTGTATCCACTCCATATAAAACTGTCAAACTTTCACAAGACTTAACACCTTGTCAAAGACGTGGTGGCGCAAAAATATCAAAAGCTGCAAACTCTGGTCAAGCTCTGGTACCCAAAACAGCAATACAATCTATTAGCGAACTGGTTACTGTACCAACACAATGGAATGAGGAACACCAAAGCACACAAATTAGCCCACTCACACACAGATGTAGTAGAGCCGATGACACGACGCTAGGCTTGGACGAATCGATGATGTACACTCGAAAATAGGCACAAGATCCCCTAAAGGTGATCTTACTGCCTACAGGAGCGGAAAGCCAGTCTCCATCTCACCTCGTCACACAGGTCACCCCCAAACCAAGTGCCACGCTATCGACCCAACGAGATACTGAGGATATTACTATGTCGTCACCAGGCGTCACTCAGCCTATAAATATACCCAGCACCAGCCACAAGCACCCTGTCACCATAGGACCGTCCCGAAGCCTAGCGCGTAAACAGTCTAATATACCTCCCACTTCAGCTAGTGCATAACTGATATGCATCAAATGGACAGATGACAAAGAGCACATATAGCATTAGACACTTATACAAGACCCACTATGCACCTACCCAGGTTAAATAAATTGCCGAAGAGTCATTTAAGCAGCCAAACCGACAGACGAAAAGCAATACGAGTAGCTGAAAGGCCATTGCACCCTCACAAAGCCTAAAGTTGTTTCTCAGGTCATCCTCTGACCAAGTCAAATAACTACCCTCCAGGCGATCCACATTTCTTAACACTTCCGCGGTCACTAGCAGACACGATTATCATGTGAATCTTCTAATATTCTTGAAGGTGAGGCCGCATCACAGTCATGGCCTTGAGGTGTGCGCGTTCGTCATAAGGTTTTGATGGCAATACTTCCCGCTGACAAATGCGATCTGTAGGATTCCTTTTGAATACAGAACTAATTAGGTAACCCTGAAAAGTGAATTACAAAAGCGAGCAGCAGGCGAAATTCGAAACAGGAGCACGAAAATGCTACACAGGGGTGGACCAGCCATGATACATCTGGTTGAGTTCTTTGTTTTGACTTCAAAACTTACTTGAAGAAGTATCCAGAACCAACTGTTCAGAGGTAAGCTTAGGTGGAAGAAGATGAAGGTGCGCACGACAGCAATGAAAATTAGTCTGAAACCGAAGATATCACCACGAAATAGACAGATTAGAGGATTTTGGACCAGGTATTCATTTTTTATACACCTATGTACAGGCGTTTGATGAAGTTATAAACATTTAAGTGAAACTCATGGATTTTTCTAAGACGGTAACCACACTTTATCTGGTCACGGAGGGGGGATGATCATGGTGTTGCCTGTTGGGTATATATCGGGGCTACCGAAACAATATGGTGGTGCACAGTACTTACATGCAAATACTGATAACAAAGGGCAAATAACAAAACATGTTACATACTATGAAAATGCACCGATTGACAGTTCTTTTATCAGTCCGGAGTGGAGAGATTACTTTAAGGAGCGAATTTTAGGAAATAGGTGTTAAGTCGTGAGATCAGTTAGGTTATGAAGAAAAGTAGGTTACAATAGAGTAGCTGCTGCATTCACTGTTGCAAGTCGTATCGTACTCCGCTTCCTGCTCACTCTTGGTCGTCTTTTTTTTAAAGAAATTAGATCTTAACTTAAGTATTGCGTCTAGTTTTCGGCATTGTATACTTTTGTCATTGCTGTTAGTCCCCCTTGAGTCTAGGTACCGGTAGCACCATTGTACATAGTATTACCGTTTGTGGTTTGGCCGTCAACGAATTGATGAGATTCGTTAGATAGGAGGAATTCACCAAGCAATAGTTGAAACTGGCCGAGAGAACGACATGCTCTTATAGGAGCGGGAAGTCTGTTCCACAGCATACTGTATTGCGTTGTGAGAAACCTACATCGAAGTTTTGAGCGATACCTATTTGTTGGGGTGATGTTCTCGCTATTACGCAGATTATATGCCTGTGTTCATTTAAAAGCGATAGCACGTTTCGTTTTAGAGTTTCTAAAAAAAGGCGAAAAAGAAATGCTAGGTTGAGCTTCAGGAGTCTCAGCCAGAGTGATTCTGGTCCCAGTTCTTTGCATCTTGCTTCGTAAGGAAGTCCTTCGCTATGTATTTGTAGGCACCGAGTAAAGTTTCGTTGAATGTTCTCTACTCGAATTCCGTCCGATACTTTCATGTTACCATAGATAACCGTGCAGCACTCCGATACTGGGTGAACCATGGCCCTGTACAGAATAAGTTTTGCCTCAGGTGTGGGTATGTTTCTGTTTAAAAAACCAATGAGTCTCCTGCCTTTGGAAACTATTGAATCTGCATCCTCCGTAAAAGTCAAACTTCTGGAGTAAGTGATTCCGAGGTCTTTCACAGTGTTGTATATCTGCAGTGCGATGTCACCCAAGTGTAGTGTTACTTCTGGGTGGGATTTATTGAAATGGAGGATGCCACTTTCATTTGGGGCTTAGAGAGAGCTGCCAGGTCACGCTCCATAGGAATATTCTCTTCAGATCTTCTATTTGAGAGGAACCCTGTGTTAGTGCTGCAGGAGAAACGCTGCAGACTGTCTTCAAGTCGTCTGAGAAAAGGTAAGGTATACCACTTCGGATAACACTACAGATATCGTTTACATATATTAGGAAAAGTGTCGGTCCTAGCACACTACCCTGGATGACACCACTCTGCGTAGGTCTAGGGGAGGAGTAGCGATTACTGAATTTTACTGCTTGGAAGCTACCCTCTAAAGATGTTCTAAGCCAGGACAGTAACGGGTCTTGGAAACCATATGACTGCAACTTGGTGACCAAGCGTTTATGAGGCACCTTATCTAATGCTTGCTTGAAGTCTAAGAAAAGGGTAGTCACAAATGGACCTTGGTCACGCTTGCTCGTAATGTCGTCTAGATAGTCAAGATAGCTGGTAGCACATGACGGGATTTTCAAGAATCCACTTTGTGCTGGTGAGAGCAATTGGCTTTTGATCATGTAGTCAGCTTCTTTCACAATCACCTTTTCCACAGTCCTGGATACGACTGACATGATGTTTTTAGGTCGATAGTTGTCTATATTAGATGTTGGCCCACATTTATGCTTGGGACGTATGTATGACAGTTTCCAGTTCTCAGGGTATTTGCCACTGGAGAGGGACCATTACAGAGCTTCAAGGGAATCGGCGGTATATCTTCGCCATCTCTTTTAAACAAGATGGTCGGAATTTCATCAAGTCCCTCACTGCATGAGGTTCGAAGCGACGCTACAGCTAAAGAATTGTTTCGTTTGGTGAAGAGCACA